ATATACGTGTAGATACACAAACACACATAAATATATATATTTTTATACACACAGGGGTGCCTGTTACTCTGTGTGTGTACATATAGACCTGTATATATTTATATATTTATGTATGTGTATGTATATGTATATGCATGTTGGATGCCTGTTTCTGTGCACATATACATGTATAGGTACACACACATATGTGCATATATAAATATATATATATAGATATATATATTTTTATACACACAGGGGTGCCTGTTACTCTGTGTGTGTACATATAGACACACACCTGTATATATTTATATATTTATGTGTGTGTATATAGACTTGGGGTGCCTGTTTGTGTGCACGTATACATGCATAGGTATGCACACACATATATAAATATATATATAAATATATATATAAATATATATATAAATATATATTTTATATATAAAAATATATACTATATATAAATTATTATTTATATTATAAATTATTAGAAATTATATTATTATATAATATACATTATATAATATATATAGTTATATAATATATGTAACATATATAATGTATAAAATATATATTAATATATTAATATAAATATATTAATAATATTTTAATAAATATATTAACTAATAAATAAATATATTAATAAATAAATATAATTAATTAATATTTATATATTGATATATATAATTATATATTGTATAATTATATGATATAGAATTATATGATATATATTATATATTATATATAGTTATAAATAATATAAATAATAATTATTCATATTATAAATAATTATATTATTATCTATAAGTATTATAAATAATATATATAAATATATGTATGAATATATATTTATATATATATAATGAATATATATATACATATATATATATGTTTATATCCACAGGGGTGCCTGTTGCTGTGTGTATGCACATATAGACACACACTATATATTTATATATTTCTGTGTATTTATGCACAGCGTGGAGTGCGGAGCCACCTGGTGTGGGGCTCCTGTAACTGCACCGACACCGACACTGCCGTTACACACGTACCTGGGGGTTTATATATATATATATATGTTCGTGTGTGTGTGTATATACGCATACACACATATATATATTTTTAATAGATTTATGTACACACATACACGCACATAGAAACATATATATTTTTTATAAATTTTTATATATATATACACACATACACGCATAGAGAAATATATATTTTTAGAGATTTATATATATGTACATATAGAAATATATATTTTATAGTTATATATACACACATATAGAAATATATAGATTTTTAGAGATTTTTATATGTATGTATACATACATACACGCATATAGAAATATATATTTTTAGAGATTTATATATATACATGGACACATACAGAAATATATATTTTTATAGTTATATATACACGCATATAGAAATATATA